TGTACAGACTGATCGCGTGACGTCAGTGTACGTCGCACCCGGCAGTTAGATGCGATATGATATGACTACTAGGCACTTAAAAAAAAAACCCTAACCCTAACCCTAACCTAACCTAAACCCTAAACCTAACCTAAACCCTAACCCTAACCCTAAAAAAAAAAAAATTAAATTAAATTAAAGTGCCTAGTAGTCATATCATATCGCATCTAACTGCCGGTTGCGTGTACGTCAGTGTGACGTCAGACCACCACCGTCCGTCCCATAGAAATAATATAGATATAACCATATTATTATATTATCTATATTATATATTAGTTCTATATTAGTTATATTAGTTATTATATTAGTTATTACATTAGTTATTATATTATGGTTATCTATATTATTTCTATGGTCCATCTAGACCGTGTGAACCATAGATAGTGTTTGGGATACTATAGATAGTATATAAGTCGATCCGAGTCGATTTATAGTTAGTGTTACGGTTCGGGTTGGGGTTAGTTTTATGGTTAGTGTTAGTGTTAGGGTTTTTGCATCATTCTTTGATATACGAAAAGTCTGATGCATGCGCAACCACCAGCACCATCAGCAGGCTGTATGCGTACATGCCACTGATCTCTACTTTACTAATATAATATAGTTAGTATAGTAGAGATCAGTGGTACATGCATTCAACTTCGGAGATAGCCGAGTTCGTGCGTGACGTACACTGACGTCACGGGATCAGTCTGGTTCATGGAAACATATGCCCACCATCCTGAGTGTACGAAGGTGCACTGCATTCAGTTTGGCATCGGCCTAGACTGGTACCCGGTCGACAGTTCCACACGCTACACTAACAGCGTCAGTGTAGTGAAGGATACTTGCCAGAGTGAAGGTGGCGAACGGGTACCATTCTAGCATCGGCCGGCCATTTCATTATTTACGAAAAGTAAACACAGGCGGTATAGGAACTGGTCACGTCGGTGACGCCTCATTCATGCCCATCAACGAAGAAGGCGGGGCTTATTCTGATTACGGAGATGCGAAAATTCAACAGAAGTACGTAGCGCAGTGCGCTAAACGGCATGTTATTTTTGTTTTTGTGCCAAACTCTATCGTAGAAAACCGTTCTAGCCTAGCAGAATGCCCTAGTTCCTGAGATCGGCGATTTGGTACTGTGATGGGTCCCCACCTATAAAAATTGTAAAGGGAGGTGCGGCGTAGGCTGTGATTGGAGAACAAAAAGTGTCAATCCTCGGCTCGCCTCAGCATCATGGCCGCATCACGTCAAGAGAACAAACGCCATTTGTAAATGTATGTTTTGGTTTATGACCGCTAGATAAGTAAGTTTTCTGGTGTATTTTCCATGAAAAACATATTTTCTCATTAATATAACATATAATATCACTATATATATTTTTTGCGGGCCGGGTAGTGTGAGCACGGACGTAGGGTTTATCGTATTTTCGTATACAGTAGCGTTTATCGCATTTTCGGCCTACTATAGGGGCCGACTTTTATTTCACGTGATCACTATGCGAAGATAGTGTGAGCGCGCATAAATCACTGTTGGCAAGGCGCTCTCTAACCTATCCGAAGCCCGGCGGCAGTTGCTAGCTAGCACCGGGTTATAACTTGTTCTAGCACGTGGGTACGGTTGCTGCGCAACCGCGCTATATACGTAGCAACGTAAGCGATGCAAGCGTGTGTTGGGCGTGCGTACGTGCGTTGTGTTCGCGTACGTACGGTGTGCGTGCGTGTGCATGTGTATGGGCGCGTTTGCATCTGTCCGTCCGTCTGTCTGTACGTATGCGCGTTCGTGCGTGCGTGCGTGAGTGCGTGCGTGCGTGCGTGCGTGCGTGCGTGCGTGCGTGCGTGCGTCCCCCGTTTGTGCGTATACGTGCGTGCGTCCGTGCGTCCGTCCACCCGTTGGTTTGTGCGGATAACTGCGTGTGCGCATATACGTGCGTGCGTATGTGCGTGCGAATATATCTATAGGCTTGCCTGTGCGGTTCGAGATATCTCCACGCCTGACGACTGAGCATGTTAATTAGCTTCATGGAAACACCATAGTTGGCTCGCAACAATCTAGGTCTCTCTGATCGACGGGCGTTCTTCAATGTTCGTCCCACGCACATTCCACCAGAGGAGACGTACGCGTCGCGACTATACGCCATGTAGTAGATGGCGCTGAAGAAGAAGAACACGCACTCTAAGTGAGTGTCGGCCACGTCTAGACGCATTAGATTTGACCAGTCTCTCGGTGGGCAGGCGTGATGGCTTACATGTTACCGGCCAGTATATGGTGCGAGTACAGTGGAGTACGGCAGTACATGTGGGTTGGGCGTGCATTTTTCACTGCGTGGCGCCCGGAATCGGGGGGGGAAGGCTCCGGCGGGCAGCGATGTTACATTTCGCTGACGTGCGGCCCTCGGCCGCAGCGAGCTTACAAACGTTTCTCATCGACGTAAGATGTGTGACGTCACCCAAACTCAGCCGTCATTTTTAGGTCATTTTTTCGCATTTTTACCACACGCAACATATATATCTGAAACGATAGGGGTAATAACTGCTGACAACAATTCTAGCCATTTTATAGTTGAAAGTAGATTAGTGCGAGAGACGAGAACGTCATAGGATTTACGCTTACTGACGTCACGTGTCCATAATATTCGTCTATAGCTACAATTTAAAACTGTTAATATATCGTATCGGCAAATAAACGAAGAATAAATACATCGAACTTTTAACGTTGCTTAGGCAACGCACAATAAGGAGTTGCAATCCGTCCTCTATTCAATCATAGCTATGGTTCAATCGAGCAAAATGCGCTTGATCGGCAATAATCGACGAAATAGTACATAGGCGCACTGATTCGCATTCTCTACTCGATCGTAATTACTATGATGTTTAGTGTTGCGGGTAGTTTACTAGAAATAGGAAAGTTCGTTCAAGGAAGGTTCAGAGAAAGAGTTCATGCTACACTAAATAGCAATTTCGGCATTTCGAAGGTAGTTTTTCTGCACCAATTCAAGCATTAACGGCAAGATACGTTGTTTTGTCACAGCTGTTCTTTCGTACAAGAAGCGAGAGAACGAAGGCCGATGCGATAACTCTATAATAGAACTCGGGCAAATTCCTACCACGTCGTAATACCTTTAAGACATTTGCACCGTAATGAGCACAACATTAAACGTTGTAGATGTCTCTCTCTCTCTCTCTCTCTCTCTCTCTCTCTCTCTCTCTCTCTCTCTCTCTCTCCCTCTCTCTTTGTGTGTGTGTGTGTGTGTGTGCGTGCGTGCGTGCGTGCGTGCGTGCGTGCGTGCGTGCGTGCGTGCGTGTGCGTCCGCGTGTGTTTGTAGGTTGCCATTGACTCTACGTCAGACGGCGTGACCGGCATTCTGATACTAAACGAGCGATGCCAGTGTAACGACACGTGAAATAGCTCTAAAGTAGAGCCCTACATGTAGTTATCACTGCGTTAGGTGTACCTAACACCATGATAGTTTAGCATTCCCATTGTCTCGCGTTACGCTTATCATAATCAGTAGTAATATTTATGGGAACGTAATCTGACTATCGAAATATTTAATCTTAATGGCTCTTGCGCAATCGATGTCTACTAGCGAGATTCATAGATTATCCCGATAGTTCGTAACCGGTGTTTTAGGGTAAATGCCAAAGCTTTGAAACGCGCGTGGCCGTTTGATTATCCCTGTAGGTAGTTTAAACGACGCTTTCATGCGCAGGAAACCCCATCGAAAATCTCGTCAACGATTTTCCAGCCTAAAACTCATGACCTGGTTTTCTCTTTCATATCTATAATATACTCGCGCATCCTGTTTACAATTTCAAATTGCTCCATCGCGATGACTACTGGACCAGACGAGTATTGTGGGATTGCGACAGATTGGAGTTGATGGTCAGTGATGCTAGAGTTAAGCTGACGATACGACTCAAACTAAAAGTTTGACGTGGCTACGCGTCAGTGGGCGACGCACTTATCCTTAGAATGCGTCGCCACGCCATGCTCGAAACGAATGATTGTGATAGCGCGCAATGACGCACTCGAAGCGGCTAAGCGTCAGGTTGCGTCGCGCTTTGACGCTAGAAACGGCTAAACATCAGGACGCGTCGCGCTCTGACGCTAGATACGGCTTAGCGTCAGGATGCGTCGCACAATGACGCTAGACACGGTTGACCGTCAGGACGCGTCGCGCTCTGATGCTAGATGCGGCTTAGCGTCAGGATGCGTCGCGCAATGACGCTCGATGCGGCTTAGCGTAATGATGCGTCGCGCAATGACGCTAGGAGCATTAAAGGAATGCGGACACCTGTGACATTCTGTGCACAGACATCAAACTCGCACTTTATTGATACATTCGCTGATCGTCCATATAATCCAACACATCGCGCGCGCGTCATATTATAGGTATACGCTCATATAATCTGCGCCGACACATATACTTTACGGCCCGTGCCGCGCCGCTGTATAGCAAAGGGAGCGAGTCAGTAGGTGGAAACCAGCGGCTGGTCATGATAACGGCTCGGCCGGTTTTCAAGGTCTCGCCAACTGTCGGAGCGCGTCCCGCCGTCTCCAGGCGGCCACTGCGACAGCGCGCGCGCAGAGCAGACGAGACCCGCACTCCGCTACGCACCGCACGCTTCCAGGCACTGAGACCGTATATACCCGCTAGTGAGGGCACCCCACCGACGGACTGACTACGTAGCCAGCGCTTTGTGCCCCGACGCTTACAAGTCCGGCGCTGAGGCGAGCCGCTGGAATTTTTTCTCTCGTCAAGGATAAGGAATTTCGAGATCGCCGACAGTCGAGATCGATCGGACGCACCGCGTGTGTGCTCGACTGCAGATATATCCAGTCCGGTAGCGGCGGGGAGAGAGTCGCGGCAGATCTTTGGATCGTAGCGTACATATAAAACTTCTGGGGGAGCTATCCTGAGGAGGACATATCTTGACGAACGTTCGGCATGTGCGCGAGGCAGCATCGATAGTCAACCATGCCGATAACGAAGGATTTGGTCAGCGGGCTGCTCAGCGACTGGGAGCTGGACCTGCAGAGAAGGTTTGTGTAACGTAGAGTGAATCATGATCCCATACGTGACGCCACGGTCATCGGATCGGTGATATTACCCGCATTCTAATTGACTACGTCAAAGGAGTGCCAGAAGGGTACGGTTGCCCAAATGGCTATCATAATACCCAGCTATCATATCCCGGGCTATCGGCGACAGATTCTGAGTTAGTGATAATTATGTCCTCAAAGTTTTATAAAGAATTTAATTGCTATTTGGGTCGCTATGGAAGAGAGCATCGTCGGAAATGCCTCTGTCACTAAAACGACAGGCTTACGCTGAAATTATTCCTTATGGCGACTATAGTAGGATGTTCGCAAAAGATGGATTAGCTAAAAACCAGCTGCTTACTTTCCGTTTTCACGTGTGTATAGGTTTGTCTTTGCCGCGACCTATTATTTTGTTGACATCTTCGACTAGAAATGCGTAAATAGAGATTTTGAATATATGTCGTGTTTGCGCTGCGCCCTCTAATCTCGCCAATGCCAGTCTCGTACCCCGGTGAATCGATTACGTTTCAAGGATTTTTTTAATACGAGGTTTCTTTACTTGAACATGTCGTCGTTTAAAACGCAAACTTTTAGTTAAATCCGTCAATAGGTATACGCTCGTAGTACATCGGTAATGAAAGACGACGTAGGGAGAGGGCTGTTGTCGCTGTCCACCGTGTTGGTATGCGATACGTCATTGTTCACCGAGTAGGTCCCTACGCACGTTGTTATTACGTCGGCGAGAACAGTGTTTGAAGAACATTCCGGCGTCGCAATCGTCGCGTTGCCGTGAGTATTTGGTCCGCCGCAAAGCATAGCGCTGTCTCTCGGCCTTCGCGCAAAATGCCCGCTATTCGCGCTCGGTCGGCGGAGAGCCCGGATACGTGATTTACTACCAACATCGCGGACACCATTTGTTTTTTTAGTCGTGGTGATTAGCCGCACCGTGAAACCTAATGAATCCTTGATGCATTGTTCCGGAAACCACCCAAGCGCGGGGGTTGGAGATCACACTCCGTTTCGGGTGGGCATCGCTGGCGTTGTCGCCCTTGGTGCTTTGTAGACGTGAGCAGTAACTACGGGCGTTCTAAATCGCTTATGCAAACGCCGTAAAACAGTTGCTAAACATTATCACATCAAACAAGTGGGTCACCATGGGTCGGAGTAGATATATGTTAAATGGCTTGACCATATGAAATAGTTTCTTATTTAGCGTCGCAACTCGCTAAACAACTTCACCTTCTTAAAACATGAATGCTGTTACTTGTTCCGTCATTTGTAAATAAATTTGAGGCTTTCGCAAATTGGTGTCAAGACATAAAAAGACCTCTGGTAATCCGGGCAGTTTTCAGTGGCTTAATCAGCTATTGCTCCTGACTGCAGCGATCGCAATGAAATATTTTCACTACCAACAACTAGATTTTTAGCATCTGGAAAGTTACATGCGGTTCCTATTCACCCCTACTTCGTCAATATATGAGATTGATCGTGATCGATTGGAAATACAGTATTTTACGGTTTACGTAACTTTTCAATCAAATCTTTTATTACTCAATATTCATGAAACACCTCGCAGAACCTCTTTCAAGTGCGTGGCCCTGAGACATGTGTGTGTCATCATTTTTCTAGCATGACCTATAGCTATATATCTCATTTAATATACTGCTCTGCTCCGTGTCGTAAACGATATGCTTCAGTGCCATGCGTTAACCTGTGTCCGTCACGTTTACCTGATGCGTATGAAGATAGACGAAGCATTTCCCGCGTGCGAGAACTAGACTATTGTACACACATATATATATATATATATATGTGTGTGTGTGTG